TAATATTGAAGCTCGTTCGTCTATTCGGCGCCGATTAGCTAACTGCCTAGGCGTTTAGCTAAATGACGGATTCTTCGATTGTCAAATATTTTCTTACTCGACAATAAATTCTAAATTTTATACAATTTTCTTTGTCTAAATAAAAACTACTTTATATTTTTTACTTTGAAAAACATTGCCGCTAATAGAATAAAGCTATCGTCTCTAAGACGAAATGAATTTTTTCCAAAGAATTTGCACGGTAACGTCAATAATATTTTTTGTGGTGTGCATCTACGTTTTTAAAATTCTTTTTTTCTTAAATATTTTTCTTTTTTTATCGTAGTGCCATAGGTTAATCTAATAGAAAATTTAAACACCAGTTTAATATCTCTCTCTCTCTCTCTCTCTCTCTTTCTAATCATTGTACGTTAATGACATTCTTTTTCTATACATTAAACTACATGAGGGCTTCTTAAAAGCTACTAATAAATTAATTTTTTTTAGTTAAATACTCAACTTGGAAAAGTACTCTCACATTTTTGAGATCCTTTTCTACCGGAAACAAAAAAAAAGGAGAAAAAAACAAATTCTATCCGGGAGATTGAAGGATCTCTTTTTCGACTATAAAACTTTGTACCCAATAAATTATTTTCAATAAGAAAAAAAATTGTGATTCATTGGCGAAATCACAAAGGAAATTGTTGAGGAGTAATTTCCTTTAGTTTCTCTTTATCGGAAATTATTGCTAAAACAATAAATGCCTATAAATTCTTTCTGTTCCCCTTGTTTCAATTATCGACAACATGTTTCTATTTTTTTTGTTATTAAGAACAATAATTGTGAATTAAAAAAAATAACTTATGGTCCACAAGATTTGTTTCTTCAAACTGTTGATGTTTGTTGATTGTTGTTGTCCAGTGGAATACTTGAGGAACATTCCTTCAACATTGCTCTTAATCGAAGTATTTCTTTCGAAGCGGCGGCTAAATCCGATTGCAATTGCAACTCCTTCTCGCGGAGTCGTTTAATGTCCCGTTGACAGGTCTGAAAAAAAAGTTGAATTTTTAGCCTTTTTTTCTTTATATTATTTGTGTATTAAAATTACATTAGATGTACACTCTTATTTTTAATTTTATTTTTATAATTATAAATAATATAATAAAAAAAAAAAAATATTAATTAAAATTATTTTTCTGTATCCCCTAGCCGAAAGTACGGTCTTCCCAGTTTAATTTGCTTCCGGGAATAGCGACTTTTGTGGCCGGCTTGACTGAGCCAACGCGCGCTCTGATTGGTTACAAGATTCTCGATACACATAAACTGTAGCATAGCAACCATGCAGCACGTTAAAGAGCTTGTGTTTTGACGTGAACTGATTATAACCTCAAAACTCAAGCAATGTTCGGTTAAAAATACCAAAATACATCAGATAAATACAGTGCATGTTATTTAAATACCCAAAATTGTGCATGAAATTTATTATTTTCTTTTATTGTTTTTTAATTATTTAAAAATATTGTAATTTAAATACGAAGAATTATCATGTTAAAAATTTTGATTGCGATTTAAACGATATTTCACAGATGTCACTTGATCGGTAAAGTAGGAAACTACTTTTAATTGATGAATATTTCGATGATTGTAAAATAGGTATATTACTATTATTAAATATTTATTTGTAAGAGAAAATTTCTTACTGTTCACTATTTTTTGAATTTTACTTCCAATTATTTTTTACATATAATTTTTTTTATGACCGCCCCGACCACCCTACTGAAAGTAAAAAGATAGAAAGAGATAAAGATTTTTCTATCCCTTTGAAATAGCCACTTTGCATACCCAAAATATTATTAGAATAAAGTTAGGATAAAAAGGAAAGAAAGTAAATAGTAAAAGAATTAATGGAGATAAAATAAAGGTTATTAAAAGGGATTGAGTAAAAGTAGGTGATGGAAAGAGATTGAATCGAATCGAGAGGTGATAGAAGAAGATTAAACTCAAGGTATAAATGGTGATGAGTGTGTACTAAGATTAAAATGTGGATAAAAAGAGAGAAGTACAAGGATAAAAAGGATTGAAGGGTATAAAACAAATGTTATTTCGAAAGATAAGGAAAAAAATAAATACTTAGATTCAAATGAAGATAGAAAGAGAATGAAGTAAATAGTAGTAGGATTAAAAGAAATAAAATAAGAATTATTAGAAGAGGTTGAGAAAAAAGTTGAGATAAAAAGAGATTGAAGGGATTAAAAAAGGAAAAGTCTGGGATAAAGGAAGGTTATAAAGCAGAGATCAGTGTTTTCTTAAAGGCGCGTATCCACTAGACGAGCGCAACACGAATGACCGATATTTTTCTATTGTGTGTTCGATTCGGCTCATGCTCCAAGTCGATCCACCAAATTTTCCCTGCAAAATCACAGGGTTTCAACGTTCGTCTAGCCTCAAGAAAATGTGTGCTACATGTGTAGTTTTTTTGAAGCATTCGTCACTATTTTTATGTAAATGTAGAAAAAAGGGTAGAAAAAATTTGGGTCCGTTCGGTTCGCGCTCGAAGCCGATCCATCGGCTGTCGGTTTATGACAATACCTCAAAGCAACAATAAAAGTGTGTCCCCAGTTTTCTATTTGCGAGTCCACTAGTAAACCTAAATTTCCCATAAACAAAAAAATTTATTTATTATTCAAAAAATAATTATCAGAAAAATTTTTACTAATATTTTTCTTTGCAACTATTAAAAAATAACTCATTAAAAAAAGCAAAACAAAATACTAATTATTACAAAAAATTACTCATTTTCAATAAAGAAATCTTTGTAAATTAGTCGAATTTAACTAATTATATTAATAAACATTCAGTCGCCTTTAACTGATTCGAATTTAGGTAACATATTATTATTAAGAATTAATTTTTACTTTAAAAAGTAATTAAGAGTATTAATCATATATATATGATTATAATTAAATTAATCACCTGAAATTTTATTTATCTTTTACTATATGATAGTTAAAAATAATACTTTCTGAACTCTTTACTGATTTCTTACTAAAAATATACATATTTTCTAGATTAGGAAATAATTTATAAAAATGTAAACTTTTTCTTACAAATTTTTTTATAAATGAATTAAAAAGTTCAAATGTTTCAATTTAGATTTTTAAATTTCCAAACGAAATCTTTATTAATTATCGCCGTCATTATTTTTTCATAGCCAATAAAAATTGTGAACATCAAATTTTTTAATTTATGACAGTAATAAAAAAGTGTCGAAAAACTTTCAAAAAAAAAATCATGAGTTGAGCCCTTTTCGAAGTTTCCCCTTTTTTTGCTTGTCCATTTACACATAAAAGAATTTTAAATTCTAACTTTTCTAAATCTTTTATCTTTCCCAACTGGGTAACGTTCGGTTCGTGTTGCGCTCGTGTTCGGTTCGCCTAGTGGATACGCGCCTTTAGATTAAAGTACCGAGAGAAAAGAAAGAAAGTAGATAGGAAAAGTTTTGAAGAAGATAAGAAAAATGTTATTCAAAAAGATTGAGAAGAAAAGAAGATAGAAAGCGATAGTAGTAATAAAAATGGGGATAGATTAAAAGAGATAAACTTTATCTCTTTCCATCTCGCAGAGATAAACAAATATTCAAGGAGATATGATTTATACACCTTTACCTCCAGCAGGGAGATATAAAACTGGATAAGTATGAAGTGACATTGAAAAGGGTATAAAAAGTTAACTTTGGGGATTGAAAGAGGATTCAATGGGATGTAATAAAGGTTATTGAAAAAGATTAAGGAAAAAAAAATTGGATGAGAGACAAGTATGAACTGAGATTTAAATAGGGATAGAAAGGGAAACAAGTGAATAGTAAAAGAATACAAGGCGATAAAGTAAGAGTTATTAAAAGAGATTAAATAAAAAGGAAAGATAGAAACAGATTGAGAGGAATGAAAAAGGGATAGAAACAAGAATATTAAAAGAGATAAGTATGTTTTTAAATGAAATTAAGAGATAGGTGTGGATATTAAAAGTATTAAAAGAGATGAAATAAAGGTTATTGAAAAAAATTGATACAGAAGGAGAGATAAAAAGTGATTGAAGTGATAAAATAGGGATAGACTAAGATGGAGAAACTTTATCTCTTTCTATCTCAGAGATAAAAAAATATTCAAAGAGATAGGATTTCTATCCCTTTACTTCCATCAGGACAGCTAAGTCTCGGCTTCGCCTCGACTTTGCAAAAGTCGGGCGGGCAACTTATTGCCCTATTTTATTATTCAAACAATAATTATTTAACGTATTTTCGGCTGGGGATACAGAAAAATTGTATACGACACACGGCCGGAAATTTGGATGCCCTGGCGAGCGTGATATATAAAGCCTCGGCTTCGCCACGGCCTTATATATCTGGCCGGCCAGGAAATCCAACTTTCTGGCCTAGTACCGTAATATACTATATTTTCTTTATAATTTGTCACAAATTGTTATTCCTTTCAGGCATCAAATTGATTTTAAGGCATGAAAAGGACAAAAAAAGTCAAAAAAGTCTTTTATTTTGTTTCGTCACAAAAATTAAATTTTTATATTTTCCTGACCTTTCACTGATTTCTGAATTCAATTATTTGAAACTTTATCAGTATATTAATTTTGAAAGTGAAAACATTTAAATGGAAAAATTAAAAAAGTTTAGAAACAAAGAAGCGTTTGAAAACTAACTTCAAACTGCATACAGATTACCGGAATACAACGATTATTAATATAGATTATTTAAATGAAGTTAATTAAATTAATAATTAAAATAATGAAATTTCTATTTAAAATGGAAAATTTTTTATAAAACTTACCACATTTTGCCTCAACAAGTCCAGCTTATCGCATTTTAACCGAGTGACCTCCATTCTGAGAGTCTCATTTTCCGTGGCCCCTTCTTTAGCCGGACATCTCGTTGCCTCATGCGTCTCAGCGGAACTCATCGACTCAAGACCCGTATCACTATCAGGATAAACAGCCTGATCTAATTCCAATTCACTATTTAATGAACTATCATCGCTCTCAGAGACAATTCGCGTAGTTGCCTCCGTCTTTTCGCCGCGCTCCTCGCGTTTCCTCAAATTTTCATGCGTCAATCTTTGGAATGATGATGACAATACTGACGTTGTGTTTGCTGTTGTCGTTGCGACAACAATTTTATCGACTATCGTCGTATCGCAACTTGTAATGGTGCAACCACCATTAATCGATGAATTTGATTCACGTCTATCGACCTCGTCCTGCTGCAATGTCGTCAAACTACTGTCCTGATTATCAGTATTCGATAAACTACTGTCCTGACTGCCCAAACTCGCATGATCCGAATCCCTTCGCAATGTTAAATCAGGCGAGCCAATTGGACTCGACGGTTCTGTTGAACGTTTACTGCTAATTTTAATGCCCGATTGACGATTACTCGGTGGACTTGGTTCCGATGATTGTCCTTTCTTGGATAATTGTTGCGGTACACTTTCAGTCGATGCATTTCGCACGCGGGAAATTAATGCCTTTCTCACGGTATCAATGAAACGATTGCCACTGCCTCCACTTCCTGATGTTGTCGATACATCGCTCGATGTTGGACTCACAGGACAATTTGAACCTAAACCCGTTCCAAGATTCGTTCCTCCGCCAAGGAATTCATTTGTCTTTGTCTGCAACTCCTCGGTTAGTGATTCTAATAGCGCCGATCTCGTTCTCAACTGAAATTATTATTTTTTCTTAGTATTTTCATTTTTCAGTTTATTTTTTTTTTTTAGTTCTATAACATTTTTATTGTTGACATTTTATTATTGCTTTTTTAATTTTTCTGCAAATTAATAAACTGAAACTTTTATTAGGAAACTAAACAGATTTTCAAAAAATGTTATATAAGTCTTCGCAAGAATTCAATTATTTTTATAAATAGTGAAATTTTTTGCAATTTTAATAAATCCTTCCAAAGAATACAATTATTATTATAAATAATAAAATTCTTTGCAAAAATTGAATTAGGGTGATTGTGTGTATTACTACGTGTTTTAAAATCATTCATTTTTGAAGAAACAAGTAAAGATTTTAATGTTAATGTTTATATAAAAAATTTTTTTAGTGAGTAGTTAATCTTTCATAGAACTAAAAAAAATCTTTAGATCACAAAAAATCTTTAATTTGTATTAAAAAAAAGAATATTTAAAAAAAAGTGCACATGCGTATATAACTACGAATTGGCTTATAATACTACGCGTGTATTTCTACGATTGTTTCCAATACTACGCGTGCTAACTCTGAACTTTCTAATAAATTTGCTATAAACTAACACCATCTGTCAATAACTATTTCGGGTTATGTTCTTTTGTTTGCATGGTGTAGCATGGCGTAGTAATATACGCATATGCGAAAATTCCTGTATCTAATTCTACGCTTGAAATTAAGTAATAAAAACTCACTAATGCAACTTTTTGTGATCTTATCCGAATTAGAGATTTTCAAAATTAATTTAAGTGTATTAAAAAGCACAGTTACCGAATTTTTCATTAAAAATCTGAATTAGTATAAATTAAAGTTTTATTATAGATATTTCATAATGCATTATCTGTCAAATAAAGTTTTATCTTAATATTTTAGATGAAATTCGTAGTAAAAGGAGCACTCTTAGTAATACACACAATCACTCTATTTTTAAATCAATTTTAATAAAATTTCATGAAAGAATCCTATTTTTAATATTATTTTTCGAAAAAAACCAATTATTTTCTAAAATTTTAGTAAATCTTCGAAACAATTCAATATTTTTTAATTTTTAGTAACATTTTTTTAAAGAATACACTGATTTTCTAAAATTTTAATAAATCCTTCTAAACAATTCAATTATTTTCATAATACAATTTTAATAATCAAATACTTAATTTTCATTAAATGTAAAAGAAGTTAGCAATCTAACTAAATTAAAGAATGATAATTACCTAATTAATTATAAATTATAATTAACTATAATTATTAACAGACATGATTACATTAAAAAATTGAAAAAAATTCTTCACAAAATTCAATTAGGTACTTTCAAAATTTTCAATTAAAATTATTAAAGAAACTCACACTATTATTTTAAAAAATTCAAAGAAATTCTTGAAAAGAATTCAAAGTGTTAATAGATTATCGGAATTCTTCTTCTTCTTCTTCTTATATGACTCTTATTTCTAATTTTGCTGCAAATTAATAAATCGAACGACTTACCTCGAGTTTGGAGAATTGTTCAGCTTTATAGGCGGCATTCTCGGCATTGACAAGTTTCGTGAGAAGGAACTCTTTAAATTCAACGCCTCGCAGAAAAACGGCGGGTGAAGGTAATGATGGTCCAAACCACGGAACGTCAAGGCGAGATGTTACACTCACTTTGTACCTAAATAACCGAATAAAAGTATTTCGTTAAAAAAAAGAAACAAATTCCCTGACAAAAAGAAAATTCTTCTCCGGCTTTGAAAGTCCAACAAAAAAAAGGTTCTTTATAAAAGAAGTTTTCGAAACGACAAGAAATTAATTTATTCTATTGAATATTTTTAATATGAATATTCTACTGAATATTTTTTTTAGTCATCAATAGGAAACTTAATGCAAGACTGCTGTAAGCCGTAAGCTTGCTGCAAGCTTCCCGCAACCTTGAAACTAGCTTACGCCCAGTCTACGGCTTGAGGAAATCTTGCAGCAAGCTTACGTCAAGCCTAAAGTTTGAGGAAATCCTACAGCAAGCTTACATCAAGCCTAGGGCTTGTGTAAATCTTTGTTGTTTTTTCCTTTTTTCTTTGCGGAGAAAAGTTAAGATGCAATACCTTGTGTTAGGAGTGCAGGGATCAATGACCTGAACGACAATGAAGGCGTGAAGGAAATGGCTGGCAATCATGTCAGGACTAAAGGGCGTAGGTTCCTCTTGAAAGATGATTGCAACTATGTCGTTTCCAATGTGCCTTTTGCGTTGCAATTGTTGCGAGTCGCCCGGACTGTATGGTAATAATGATGCTACGTGAAAGAGTACCTCTCGACCTCGGAATACCTCATAGACCGCGGAGTCGCCCGTCTGTCCATGCCTCGTATCTAATCCACCACGATATCTACAAAAAAAAGAATTATCCTTCAATCAAAAAACTAATTCAAATTAAAGAGAAAACAAATTAAATCTATTATCTTTTATTCTGCATTTTATTTTATTCACTAATTTTTCCTCATTTCTTTCCTTTGCTATTTTTAAAAAATATTTTTTCCATTAATCTTCTCTTTCTTTTTTTCTATCTTTTGCAAATTTGTTTTTTTACAAAATTTCTGAAAATAGATTCTATACTCAAACTCTTACCCTTTATGATCCTTCAAGTCGATCCTCTGACCGAGAAGATCAAGAAATTCCTGAAAGGCCGGAGTAATTTGACGATTACTGAAGAGTTGCTCCTCTGTTAGTTGACCAGCTCTCTGATGTAGAACACCAAATTTGAATCTGGATACGAGGGCATGCTCATCGTAACGAGCAATCAAAGTTCCAGCACCGGAGCATACCACAGGCATTAGATTATTTACGTTGAGTGACTCGTTGATTACCTACGAAAAAAGAGCAGAAATGATAAACTTTCTTTTAACAAAACGAAATTTAAAAACTCAAAAGTATCGTATTAAATTTACAAATTACTTTTTAATTTATTTAAAACTTTATTAAAAATTTTTACTACTATAATATTGAAATGCATAGATTAAAAATGGAAAATTTTTATTACAAAACAAGAAATTAATTTTAAAAATTTATATTTTTTCTCCAAATTTTTGTATATGCTATCTATATTTATATAGTTAAGTTTTTATTTATCTTGAGTCAAATTAACAGGATTCTTTAATATAAATAATGGCACGAGATAATAAGCGGACGTTAAGTAATCTAATGCGTACTTTGCCAGCCAGCCTCGCTCTCATCTCGCCTTCAGAGCGTAATAACGTGTATGTTCTACTTAAACAAATGGCAAGAAAACCACGGCTTTCTAATGACTAGTTTAAAGAAAAAGAAGAAGAAAAAAAGAACTGTTCTTCTTTAGAAAACACGAGACTTAATTTAAAAAATATACGAGATTCACTTTTTTCTATATCAAGGCTATAAATAATAGAAGAACCTACAGTTTTTAATTATTTATATTGATATAAACAAAATATAATAAATAATGATTAAAAACTGCAGGTTCACTTTTAGTTATTTATAATATTATTTAATTTAATTTATAATTATTTTAAATTAAATAATTCATTTCTAAAATTAAAAATTTTCCTCGTTTTTTTAGACTAATAATGTCTTCAAACAAAAAAAAATTCTTCCCAAGACAATAATAATAACCAATGTTATTCATTGATTTACGTAATAAATATATTTTTTATCCCACATGCACAAAAACGGCGCTTTCTGATAGCAGCCGACAGGGAGGAAAGTCATTCATTTCTTCGACCGTATGAAATTGGCGGCCGTGTTCTCCCAAGGGCAAGAAAATTAGCTGTTCACATGCATTTTTCTTGCCCAAGGGAGAAATCGGCCGCCATTTTCATACAAATCGAACAAGTGAATCACTTTTACTCCCTGTCGTCTGCTATCTGAAATCGCCGCTTTTGTGCATTAGGAATAAAAAATATCGTAAGTAACACGAGAATAAAGGCAGCCAATTTCTTTACGATGATTTTTGTGACACGAGTGGAGGTCAACAATCGTGTATAAAATATGAAATAAGTTTTGAATTTCTTACACCGGAAATACGGTGCAGCGAACCGATAAAAATCACTCTCTGCCTGTCCTTCACATAATTCAAGTTTGCCACTGACTCTCAAGAATTTGAAAAAGTGTATTATTATTACGATAAAGAAAAAAGTAACCCTTTAGAAAAAATTGCTTTCGAAAAAGAATGATAATTAAATTATAATATTAAAATATTATATGTATTATTATTATTTTTATTATTAATATTATTATTATTATTGCTAAATTATTAGGGGAGAGTGGTCCTAAGTTGGCCGCCTAAGCAAATTGGTCGAAAATAGTAACAAAATGAAATTTAATCACCTCGGCAAGTATATATTAGTGTTCAGAGATCGTTTTGCTATAATTTTGTGGTATTTAGAACGTTATAGAATAGCTTTTGTAGTCTTAATACAATAAATTGTGAAAAGCTGCATTTTGGACATTTCAGAAATAGCGGTCCTAAGTTGGCCACCCCCTGGTCCTAATATGGCCATCACATTTTTTCGCTTGTGTATAAGGAAGAAATGCATATTCTTTTCAATTGCGCAGAAATTTATAACAAATTTGATACATTTAGGAGAATAAAAACGCATTATTTAACTATTTTTGTTTAGAAAATAAAGCATTATTTTATTTCATTTATTTGCAGTGGTGGATGGCTGTGGAGTAGGGTGTCATTGTAAAGATAATTAAATTACCTTTCGATCCATATGTCACAGTATAAGATTCAATGAAAATTAAGAGTGTTACAGTCGATTAAAGATCAAATTTCATGGAAATTTTGATGATTTTTAGACACTTAAGTAACTAGTACTTTTTTCACATTGAACAGTAAAAAATATTTAGATTTTAATTTTTTTATTGAGAGTCTAACATTACAAAAATCCGTAATTTAATCGTCGATTAAATTCGTCTCAAAATCCGTTACCCGATTTTGAGACGAATTCGATCGACTTTTATGAAGTTCTCCGCCATTTTGAAATTTGAAAAACTGACATTGGACTCTAAATCAGCGACTTCAGTATTTCTTAATCACTGATTTTAGTAAGTTTAGTGGTTATATCTAAATTTATTGTTTCAATTTTTGCTGCAAATGTTGAAGGAATGATAAAAAATAAAAAAATAGTTTCGTTCACTAAATCTAGTGTATAATTGTCATATTCAATCAAATCGAGGTCCACAAGGGCTAAAAATTTTCGTAATGTTAGACTCTCAATAAAAAAATTAAAACCTAAATATTTTTTACTGTTTAATGTGAAAAAAGTACAAGTTACTTAAGTGTCTAAAAAATAAAAATCATCAAAATTTTCATGAAATTTGATCTTTAATCGACTGTAACACTCTTAATTTTCATTGAATCTTAAACTATGACATATGGATCGAAAGGTAATTTAATTATCTTTACAATGACACCCTATTCATTATATTTTGACATTTATATTTATGTTAAAAAAGAAAAAACACTACATTTTTAGCGTTTTTATGGTTCAAAGGCTCTGAACCACGGGTTAATATTAAAATTTTTTATTTCCAAATATTGTGTTCTTATTTTTACACAATTTGAAAGAATTTTAGGGGATGAGACCCAATAAAAAAAAACTTTTTATTTTTTTGGGACACCCTACTGTGGAGACAGGCGTTTTTGTACCATGTCTTTTCTAATGTTTTTTAAACCATTTGTTTTGTTTTTTGTCTTTGTTTAACCCTTTAAGGCCCGACTTTTTTTAAGTGATGCGATTTTCGTCATACTCTGTACTTAAGGGTTTTTGAGATCGCTGATTACGAATTTGATGTTAGTTTTTCAAAATTCAAAATGGCGGATCCAATATGGCGGACGACTTTTTTAAAATTTCATCGAATTCACTTGAAATTCGTTACTCGGGGGTTTATGTGGTCGCTGATTACGAATCTGATGTTAGTTTTTTAAAATTCAAAATGGCGGATCCAATATGGCGGACGACTTTTTTAAAATTTCATCGGATTCACTTGAAATTCGTTACTCGGGGGTTTATGTGGTCGCTGATTACGAATCTAATGTTAGTTTTTCAAAATTTAAAATGGCGAATTTAAAATGGCAGCCGAATTTTAAAAAAATTAATTAATTGGCTTGAAAATCGAATTTTGAAAAACTGACATCGGATTCTTAATCAGCGACCCTACAAACTCCCGAGTAACGATTTTTAAGCTAATAAATTAATTTTTTAAAAAAGCCGTCCGCCATTTTGAATCTGCCATTTTGAAGTTTAAAAAACTAACATCAGATTTGTAATCTGCCACCCCAAAAACCCCCGAGTAACATGTTTCAAACCAATTAATTCATAATTAAACATTTTTTTACCCCTATTTTTGACCAATTTTTTATACAAAACCCTTATTATTTAGGGGTTAATATGCTCCAAAATCCACCATTTATGATGTTGCGGCTTTTTTATTGCAAACATTTATAGAAATTCTCTCGCAAGCAGTAACTATTTTTGTGCAAAGAAGAAACAAAAGCCTAACGGAAAAATAGAATTAGAAACGAACGAGTGACGCTATTGGTGATTATAAAAAAACAAATTTCTAACGCATAAATATCGTAAGAAATAAACGGGTTATAGGAATTGGTGGCTGTAGGAGAAAAGAAATGCCTAATACAAAACCTAATTCAAAAACAAGTGACAAGCTATCATTGACAATCAAACAAGAAACAAAAGCCTAACGGTAAAATAGAATTAGAAACGAACGAGTGACGCTATTGGCTAACGCTAAAATATCGTCAGAAACGAAAAAGTGATTGTGAGGAAAAAATACCTTGTGCGAAATCTTGTTCAGAAACAAGCTAATATTGACATTCAAAAACTGAAAGAAAAGACACAAAACTTTCCGAGTAGTAAGCAAAAAAGTTAGGATTTGGCTGTACTTTTGTAAATTTATTACTTTTATAGTGATAAACAACTCCACCAAATATTTTTTCAAAATTTTAAAAATTACCAAAAATACGGCATTTTCAAAATTTTTGTCTTTTTTTAAAGTCTTATAACTTTAGTTCTAATTAACCGAATTTGGATTTTGAAAAAAGGATTTCTTTGGTTTTAAGTATATTTTAAATAAAAATTAATATAAAAAAAAATTCAAAAAATTTTTTTTTCTTGATATTTTGAAAAATTAAAAACCGTAAACTGGGGCTATTAGGAACAGATTTTAACTTTAAAGTCTTGCAACTTTTTTGTGTATTGAAATATTGCCTTAATTTTTTATTTCTTTTCTTGATCTTGGCGAGCATATTGAAGGGTTAAATAATTGCCTTGATCAAAGCTGGAGTTTTAAACAAAAAAAAGAAAAAGACGCATTTTTTTGAAATTATAAAATGGGGCTATTAGAAACAAGGCGGTAAAAACCATTAGAAAACGTATTTTAAATTAAAGAAGTTATTTTTTATTTCTCGAAAGCAAACACAGAATATAAAACAAATGTAAAAACAAAACTAAAAGAGCGAATGTGTGTTTTAAACGTTGCTGGTGGGACGCATGAATAATCTCTAGAAATCATTAGTTAGAAGTTTTAAATGATTGAATTTCATTTATTAGAATTTTCTTTTAGCAGAATTTCATTTTTTTCGAATTTTTGTTTAATCGATTTTAAATTGACCCGAATATTTACATTAACAGATTTATAAATACTCGAATTTTTATTTATGAGAATTATCATTTAACACAATTTCCATTAATGGTACTTTCCATTAAAATGAATTCTTATTTATTCGAATTTTTATTTACAACAACTCTTATTTTACATTATTTCTACTTAGTCTAATTTTGAAAAGACAAACAACAAACTAAATTAGCTGTCAAAAATGATTTTTTTAACAGTTGTCAAGCATAAATATTGACTGACACTGTCCGTAAATAAAACTATTTGAAAATGATTGAATTCGCTTGAAATTTGTTACTCAGGGTTTTTTGGGGTCGCTGATTACGATTATGTTGTCAGATTTCCAAAATTCAAAATGTCGGATCCAATATGGCGGACTTATTTTTAAAAATTGATCAAATTCACTCGAAACATGTTACTCGGGGGTTTTTGGGTTCGTTGATTATGAATCCAACTACTGATTTTTTATTTTGACATCATTTTTGTATTCAACGACCCCAAAAACCCCAAAGCAATAAATTCTAAGCGAATCCAATCGTAGAAATTTACAAAAACAGCGAATAGGTCGGATTAATAAAAATTTATTTAATTTTTACAGAACTTAGTATCTATGAGTTTTTGGACTCTGACAAATCACGGAATAACTCCGTTGCCCACCGTCACGACGTGGAGTTGCCCTGGATACAGGCCCACAAAAAAATTCCTGGTCAGTGATCTTAAAAACACCTATAGATACCAAGTTCTGTAAAGTTTCAAGAAATTTTTATAAATCCGACCACCATATTAGATCTTTCATTTTAATTTCAAAAATCTGACTTTAAATTCGTAATCAACGACCTCAAAAACCCCTCGCTACCAAGTTTCGTAAAATTCAAGAATTTTTTTAAAATCCGACAGCCATATTGGATCCGTCATTTTGTATTTTGAAAGTCTGCCTTTAAATTCGTAATCAGTAACCCCAATAAACCCTCGATACCAAGATTAAGGTAAATCCGTCAATATTTATAGAATTTTATCTGTCCACGTAAAATCTGATACGTAATTTGAGGTTAGAAAAAATCCTGACGTGATGGAGCAAAACTAATCTAATGATTACGTTTTATTTTTTTTCTCCGAATTCCTTTGAGATCCCAAGATAAAACTTACAGGACAAGTAAAGCACATTTGCCATAACATTTAGTAAAATTTTGAAAAAAATCAAAAATGATGTTTTTTTAAAAACAGATTTTTAATTTTTCAATTAATTATTCAAAAAAATAATGTTTTTGACAATTATTCTTTCGATTAAAAGAAATTATAATTAATTCTTATTGGATAAAAAGATTTTCAATAAAATAAAGATTCGGAAAACAAAAATTGGAGACTTTTCATGCGCCTCGAAAATGTTCATACGTACAGGTATACCACAGCATGCTTCAGTATACCTAATATATTATGAACATAAATGCACACTTTCTCTCAATGTAGACTCACCTTAAAGGTTATAAATTTACAAAAGTACAGCCAAATCCCAACAAGTCATGAAAATTAGTGTATTGAACTGACGTGGAATCCACCATAAACAATACTTATAACTCTTGGCAACGTTGCAAGCACTATACACATTAAATTTGAGCGCGAAATTCAAATGATAATTTTCGTCACAGGTTATGAAATAATTCAGCGTTGCCAAAAGTTTTACGTTACCAAGTGAGTCAAATAATTAAATATTTCTCACTGTTTTGAATAGCTGCGTCAAGCGACAGAACCTCCTTAAAAAATGTTATCTAAATTTTTCTAGATTTTTAAAAAAGTTGAAGTTAAGAGACAAAAATGAGAAAATTTGATAATTTTGTTTATTTCTTTCTCACTCTATAACTTAAAAAATAATTAACGAAATGACTTCAAAGACGGCTTATTTTACGCAAAATTTAATCAGCTTTCTAACCGTATTTAAGTTGTTTTTGTATCTCCTTTTATTTCCGAGAGAAATAAAAGATTATATCAATCATATCCGAGAGAGATATGATTAAAAAAGTGATGGCATATTTTTTCATAGAGTCGCGTGTAATCGTCCTGATACTCGTGGACGGTAGTGTAAAAAAAATTTTCGATTTGGACGTTGGGGATCGAACAACTGATCCTACACACTAATTCACGTGCCTTAACGACTATGGCCATCGCCAATTAATAAGTAGTTATTATTTTGTTTATATTATGGGCACGTTGAGACAGGTTCTGTTTTCAGTAATATTTTTAAACAAACAAAATGTAGCGAAATATTCGATATACTTTCTTAAAAGTATTATCCAGGGCTACAACATTGCCAAAGAAAGTTTTTTTTTGACGCACGTTGAGACACTCATAGTACTTTATTGTAAATTGAAACAAAATGAATAATTACGTTAGATTCTAATTGTTTGTTGTTTATTTACTTATTTTGATGGTCTTAGCCCAAAGAAAAAAATTAAAACATTAAAAATTAACTTAAAGAAGAGAATTAAAAAATAAAATTTTATTTTGCACAAAAATAATTAATCGAAATCTTTATCTTCGCAATTTTTACAGGTGAAGAAAATGTAAAACACTCGAAAATTGTGGATTCTAAATCAATTTGAATGACAATACTATTTTCACATTGTGAGCGTCTCAACCTGCGTACTACAGTGAGTCAACGTGCAGACCACGCCGTTATTTTCTTAAAGCTTTGAAATTATTTGTAGATATTAACGTATGTCTAAATTTCCGTCGGAACATTAAAGTAGAACCAAAATTGATATGTAAATGTTATCCGCACTTTTTTTGCCTCTAAAAAATACACTAAACAGAAATCCTGAAAAACAGTTTTTTAAACTAAAAAATTGGTTCGCTCTAGTTCTACCGAAAAAAATAGGAGTTATCGCGCTTCTATTGAATAAAAAGTTTGGTATTAATGATACGACAAAATGCCAATAATCTTTTTGGTACTATCAGTTACACAGGTTATAATATCTTAGTGTCTCAACGTGCGTACCTCTCCCCTATATAATAGTAATAATTCAAAAAGTAATAAATAACAAATCCTTATCCTTCATTAAATTAATGAATTAAATTTTTTTTTAAATATTGAATTTTATTTATTACCTTAACCATTTTGGCCGGTGAAGGATTTGGTCCGAGTGTTGCTGCCGGCACCAATTCGTGTGTTGAACCAGCTCGTAATCGCAAAAGCACTCGCCAATGTTCCTGACCCGCAACAGTTTCGGCTTTCACGGAGACTAACACCGGTCCATTCTCGCTGTCACGTCCCACAAGGTTCACGTGTTCCTGTAGCGTAAAAAAGCACCACAAAAAATTATTTAAAACAATTATTCGATAATATAAAATTATAAATTAATCATTATTATAGGGAGCGTTCACAAATGATGTCACGCAATTTTTAAAGATTTTCAACCCCCCCCCCTCCCCCCTGTCACGCAATTTTTTCAATTTCACACGGAGAGAAAAATCAAGCGTTTGTAGTATGGACAGTTAAGCTTATTTCGTAAAAGAATGCACATGCGCAATATGCGTAAAACTTCTGCTGTATTTGTATAAATTTCTACGTTATCAGCATAAAAGTTCTACCTGTAACGCATGGGACGTCAGTATACTACGATTGCAAGAGATCCATGCTTTTTTAGTATATGTTTCATGCAACTGAGGTATAAAAACATGCCTCTTTAGCAGGACGTTCATACAAAATTAGCATAGGAAGTCTCCATACTACAAACGCTTGATTTTTCTCTCCGTGCACATGAGAAAAATACATTGTGCCACGTTTAGTAAGACCCCCCCCCTACCCCCAAAAGCGTGACATCATTTGTGAACGCTCCACGGAGAAAAGAAAAGAATTGTAGATTATGGGCCGTTTTCTCCCATGGGCAAAAATAACGCATGGGATCAGCTGGTATGTTTGCCTCTTGGGAGAAAATGGACGCCATTTTCATATGGTTGAACAAATGAGTGACTTTACTCCCTGTCGTCAGCTATCTAAAAGCGCCAATTTTGTGCATGTGGGATAAAAAATTAATATTTCGAGTACTCGATACATCAAGCCGGCTTGGGCTCGGCTCGAAAAAATTTCGGCTTGGCTCGGCCATTCGAGCTTTTTGCACACCTCTACAAAATTGAAGGGCTACATAAAATAAGGGGACGAGCGCATGGTTGAAAGGGATAATATCAGTCAGATAGCAGCGAGCGACTCAAGCAGACTCAAGGCTTGTCACTGCTACCCGACTGGTACTATCCCTTCCAAGCCTCGCGTTCGTCCCCTTATTCTATGTAGCCCTTCAATTCCATTTACAGTTTTTCTATACGGATGTCAAAATTGAGACATTAAAGAACGTATCAAAATTGTTGCGATGCAAAGTTATTTGATGCATTTTTTGTCTTAGTTTAATATCCTTAGAAAAGCTGATAATTTTTATTCCCCTAAAAAATGACAGCATCATTTTAATATTATAAAAAAAACATAACGTTATATTAAAATATCTTCACAAGTTTCCAGGCAATAATAATTCCGTTTCGCACGGCCCTTATAACTTGAAACAATAAGGCAATAAATCAGATCTTGTTAGCATAATACATATACACTTCATCTAGATTCTTCCCTACAGAAATAATAATAAAAAAACTTGATGCAATGATTTCTAGACAATTTATATATATATATATATATATATATATATATATATATGGGGCATTCCACGCCAAGTCGGACACCTTTTGACTTTTGCATCTCCGATTTTTTTCAAATATTTTTTTTCTTTTAGTGCTCGTTGAAATGAGCTACCATGATTTTTTTCAAATTTTTTCATCAAGCGGTTTAAGAGATACAGGTTTTTGAAAAATCACGTTTTTTACGTAAATTTTTTTCTGAAATGCTTAAACTCGGACAAAAATTGATCAATTTTGACGTTCGATATATGAAAATTTTTGTTTTTACACGTAGTTTTTGATAAAAATATTAAAAAATTTTTTTTTTTAAATTTACCAAAAAAATTTAAATTTTAAAAATAAAATTTAATTTTTAAGAATGTATGTATCGATCGATTTTTTTCAAAATTTTTTGTGAGAAACTGGTACTAAATTAAGAATTTTTAAGCATAGTCTGATGATGGGCAAACGATGGGATCTATTTGTTTCTGATTTTTCAATTTTTATATTTATAGCTAAAAGTATGAAAAATGAATGAATTATCGTAAGAATGCGATAGAGAAGGACAGACAAAGCTCCTGTCCTCTTCTATCTCATTGTTTTGTTATAAGTTCACGTCTTAAGATTTCATTGTGCGTTGGCCTTTTTCTATTTTACGCGCTGCGTTCATCCGCTACATCTCAAACCTTTAAAATATTTAAACGGTCACGAAATTAAATGTTTTTCTACATATGAATATGCTTTCTCAAAATTACAATAAAGTAATTAATATCCTGAACGTCTTGTAATTCATTTTTCATACTTTTAGCTATAAATATAAAAATTGAAAATCAGAAACAAATAGATCCCATCGTTTGCCCATCATCAGACTAGGCTTAAAAATTCTTAATTTAGTACCAGTTTCTTACAAAAAATTTTGAAAAAAATCGATCGATACATACATTCTTAAAAATAAAATTTTATTTTTAAAATTTAAAATTTTTTTGGTAAATTTAAAAAAAAAATTTTTTAATATTTTTATCAAAAACTACGTGTAAAAACAAAAATTTTCATATATCGAACGTCAAAATTGATCAATTTTTGTCCGAGTTATAAGCATTTCAGAAAAAAATTTACGTAAAAAACGTGATTTTTCAAAAACCTGTATCTCTTAAACCGCTTGATGAAAAAATTTGAAAAAAATCATGGTAGCTCATTTCAACGAGCACTAAAAGAAAAAAAATATTTGAAAAAAATCGGAGATGCAAAAGTCAAAAGGTGTCCGACTTGGCGTGGAATGCCCCATATATATATATATATGGGTCAAACCATTTTATTTCGCCTAATGTATTTTTGACCTTTATAAAAAATTTCAATACTTCGGGAAAATATTCTTACATGTTTTGGGATTACGAAATGCACAATGATTTGTAAAAAATAATTTCATTTCATATAAAAAAAGATATTATAAATTGAGAGTACATGAAAAAAGGTTACATTGACAGGCATTACAAAATATTTAAAAAAGGAGTAATCTCTTTAAGAAATATAAAAAAAGCGATTGCTATTTATTTTTAAAGACTTAATTTGTGATTTGAACTTGATAAAAGTATAAAATAATTTATAATAAACTGTAAAATATGTTATTTAAGTTTCTGTATGAAATGTCAAAAATCGATCATATTTAACAATTTTTTTTGACAAACTAATTTAATTTTCGTAAATCAGAATTATTTAAATAATAAGTATTTTAAATACACTTTATTATTATTTAAATACTTTTTTGATTATCAACTGAGAAATATAAAAAAATTTACCTTAAAAATGAACCATTCTTCATTTTATCGGGATTTTGAATGTTTGTAACTTCGTTGGAGAAAACCCGATTTATGCCAAATTTTTGGAGCATGTTGATTGAAACAATATCTTGCTGCTACTAAAATTTCGCGATGGGTTTTGCACTAGTTTTCAAAAAAAAATTGATTTAAAAAAGTGTTTATTTTGAAGGTTAATGACAAGTATTATAGCTGACTTGAAGTTGGTTTGTTTTAAACTGACTTTAAAAAAATCGTTTTATTTTGAATTTGGCTTTTATTCCAAGTAGCAAACCAACTTCAAGTCAGCTACAATACTTGTCATTAACCTTCAAAATAAACACTTTTTTAAATCAATTTTTTTTGAAAACTAGTGCAAAACCCATCGCGAAATTTTAGTAGCAGGAAGATATTGTTTCAATCAACATGCTCCAAAAATTTGGCATAAATCGGTTTTTCTCCAACGAAGTTACAAACATTCAAAATCCCGATAAAATGAAGAATGGTTCATTTCTAAGGTAAATTTTTTTATATTTCTCAGTTGATAATCAAAAAAGTATTTAAATAACAATAAAGTGTATTTAAAATACTTATTATTTAAATAATTCTGATTTACGAAAATTAAATTACTTTGTCAAAAAAAATTGTTAAATATGATCGATTACCCAAGTAGAAATATAATACTGGCATAGTACTGATCTTGTACTGACTGCCAGTATTGCAGTACTGACTCCAGTACTAAGTCAGTACTGGGAAAACCCTGGCTGGTAACGCTGTCCAGTACTGATTTTTACCGGCGGTCAGTATAAGCTCCTTATTTAATTATTAAAGCATGGGGAGTAATTTATTGAATACTAATAATTATTATTAGTATTAATTATTATTAATTAATTATTAGAATTCCTTTTATTAAAATAAGTTTTAAAAAAATATTTTTCTTATTTTTTCATTATTTATTTAAATCTTATGTATTTAAATTAATGACTAAATTATTATTATTACTGGTTATTAATTATTTAAACTTATACTTTATGTAACACTGTTAAGAATTATACACAAAACACTTAAAGCTAAGACGGAAAAATATCGCACGCACGGGGGACCGAACCCTAGACCTCGAGGACGCAAGTCGAATACACATACCGCATAGCCACGCAAGCTCGGGAGTTATCTCGCATAAACTTCCTTTTGAATTGTGGGACCGATATATACAGTGCTTTAATAATAAATCCACTGCATATTATATTTATTTCAAGAAAAATTATTATACATATATCTTTATATACATTTTATCAAGTCATTATGTAGTAATTAATAGATACATCATAATAATATGGTAGAAATTATTAATATAATTATTTATTTATTATTTTTAATCTAATTATTTATTAAAATAATAATAAAAAAAATTTATTTAAGAAAAATTTTTGTTAAATAAATAAATAAAAATATATATACAGCTTTAAAAAATAAAATTTTTTTTATTATTAATAATACGTAATAATTCTAAAAATAATTAATTAATAATAATTTATTATTATATTATTAAAATATATCTATTAGTTAATAATAAATTAATAAAATGTTTGATATTATTGTTGATGAATAATGTTTTTACAAATCTTTGCAAATATTTTAATTGTTAATAAATCAAACGATGTTCAATGTTTAATTACATTATAACAAATTTTGATTGTTTTTTTAACTCCTTCGCAGTACTGATTTAGTGTTAAGCCAGTTTTCTGCCAGTACTGATTTTAGAACTTTTCTAACTCCGACATAGTACTGATTCGGTTTTGGAGTCAGTATACTCCCAGTACTGATCGGGTTCCGAAA